ATCTTGGACATTTTGCATTCAAATCTCCCACAAGGCTTGCACATTTCAAGGCCTTGCATTCAGGGAGGTTGCCTAAGTGTAAGAAGCATCCCCGTGTAAGATAACAGAGGCTGTATGGCATTCAAACTCAAAACAAAATTAGTTTTGATCTGCAGGCCTGATTTGGTCCCTGCCTTAGAAGGTTAAGGGTCCAGGGATCTGTGTATAGAAATCGTGCCCAGGTGATTCTGATAAGCATCCAGTTTCCTTCCTGTGTGGGCACTTTAACAGCAACACACCTGACCAAATGTCACTTGGATTCTTTATGAAACAGTAAGCCCACTACTTCACATGGCAGAACATTTCATGTTCGTGACTCCAATCTCTCTCTCTCACGCTCGCTCGCTCGCTTTTCTTTTCACACAAGAGGTTGGGGAGGGGACTTGAGATATATAAGAATTGAATTAATCATATTCCCCAGTTCATAGTACACCATCAATCCACACAAGATTTCTCTTGGCTTTATTTATTTTTTACTCACTCTCTCCCCCAGCAGTAGGTCCCCCTCTAGTGTATTTTATATCCTAACAATCCACCTCTTACCTATTTGATTTGTTATAAGAGGACCCTTCAAACACAGTATATCGGTAGCGTGTGTGGGTGGCGTGTTTTGTTGTTATGAATGGCATTGTAGGGTGGCTGTATTTATTAGGTGATTCTTCCCTAAATCTCAGGCCAGTTCCTGCCTCTCTGGAAATTCAACCCATCTGATCCTAGTTTTGCCCTGATTGCCCTCATTGAGCTAAACAGAAAACTTCCCCACCCCCCTCCAGCATTCAAGACAGTCCTCAGGGCCCCCTCTTCTGCAGCTTTGATCCGCCCTCTCCCAGGATATGGGATTTTCCTTGTTCTTCCTCAGGATGCTCCACAGATAGATAGCCTTCCTCTTGAAGGACTTGGTCTAACCCCCCCGCACACACTGGATGGTGTACTTGTCTACCCCTAGGGATAATCTCTTGTGTTATTGGAAGGGCCAGGAGAGGAACCTGGTGTTTATTATGTGGCCTGGCCATACAGCACACGCGTGCAAGCACTGAGATTTGACTGGAAGCGTGAATTTAATTGCTCTAGGTTAGAACCCCCTGCCCTTATCCCTTTCTCCCAGGTTATCAGGATGGGGGACTTGTAAGCCTTGGTGATATGGGGACGCCGTCAGGCAGGGCATCACGGTCCTCACTCGGCGTTGGGTTCTTTGTGCATAGCACTAGACCCTCCCCATGCTCAGACAGCTGTTGACTCTCCCCTTCCTTTGACTGGGATGGAAATTTCCTCAGAATGTACCGGGAGGATTGCAAGCCATAGGTGAGACAGGCTGAGTGGACCTGGCTTGGGAAGCTGAGGGTGCTGATATGCTCATGTGGAATAACCCACCCGCCTCGTCCTCTGCTCTTTTATCTTTATGAGCATATTTTAGAGACCAATGTTATATATTTCTGTTATTGAGGTAAAATTCACATATCATAAAATGAACCGTTTTAAAGTGAACAGTCCAGGGGCATTTAGTATATTCACAGTGTGTGTGTGCAGCCATCACCTCTCTCCAGTTCCAAACATTAGCATCACCCCAAAAGGAAACCTTGTACTGTTAAGCAGCTGCTCCCCGTTCCCCTCTGCCTCTGGTAACCACCAGTCTGTGTTCTGTCTCTATGGATTTGCCTATTTTGGATATTTCATATAGATGGGATCATGCTTCCCATTTTGTGTCTGACTTCTCTGATGAGCCTAATGTTCTCGGGTTTCGTCCACATCGTAGCGTGTATCAATCAGCATTTCATTCTTTTCGGCGGCTGAGTCATATTTCATGGTACATATGTGCTGCCGTTTGTTGACTCGTTCTTTCCTTGATGGGTATTTGGGCTGTTTCCGCCTTTTGGCTAGTGTGAGTGATGCTGCTATGAACGTGTGTGTACATGTACTTGTTTGAGAACCTGTTTTTAATTCTTTGGGGCATATACCTAGGAGTAGAAATACAGGGGCCTATGGTAATTCCTATGTTTAATTTCTTTTGAGGAACTGCCAAAATATACATTTCCTGAAATAGCAACTTTACTCTGGAACTTTCCTGCATGTTGAGAGGCAGGGAAATTGGATGGGAAAACCCTGGGCTAGCAGTCAGGAGACCTGGGTTCTTCTCCTAACTTTTCCACAAATCAGCCTTGTGGCCTTGAGCAAATCACTTCCTTTCCTAGGCTCTTGTTTCCTCATCTGAAAAGTAAGGGGATTGCAGAAAGCTAAATAATACTTACATTCTCTTCCTCTTTTAAGATTTTATTGAGGGGGGAAAAAAATGGGTTCCAGAGAGAATTGTCAAACAGCTAAATGTAATTATCTCTAGTTCTTTTTCTACTGCGTTTTTAAGTTGTGAGTTAAAAACACCCCAAATAATTGGGCTTTTCTCCCGCCAATGTGTTTCTAGTTCATGAATAGCTTCTGGCTTCCTTTTTCCATCAAGATTCCCAGAATTAAGGTATCCTTCTCTTTCCCATCACTCCAACGGCTGGGCAGCGCCTTAGCAAAACATGGCAGACCTGGAGCCAATATTGGAGCCATCCCCACTGTCTTTTCCGAAGGAACGCTGAGCCTTCCCCGAGAGCTGGTTCTCTCAGCACTAAGGTTTCAGCTGAGTAGCCAGAGTCTGGTCTTTGGTGATATATAATAGAAGTCAGCAGACTTTCTGAGACAGTGTAAGGACCATCTTAGAGCGTTAAGAGGAAGCACCAAAGACCTCCTGTGGTACCTTCTAGCGAGATGGTCCCTCCTTGGGAGATTCTCTACTTTCTGAACCCTGGCCAAAGTGCAGTACTTGTGTAGGAAGGGAGATTTTTTTCCTCCATCAGTTGGTAGCCTTCACAATGTGCTGCCCAGATCCAAATAATGTGCTCTTCTGTACCACCTGGTGGTTTTCTGGGGGAACATGAGGTTTAAAAATTACATGTGATCCAGGTGGTGTATTTCCTAAGTCAGTCATTCATTTGTTCATTTTTCATTCACCCTTCACATATTTTTGAGTGCCTGCTATGTTTTAGGCACTATGTTAGAATCTAGGAATAACCAAGAGGGGGCACCTCCCTTTGTAGAGCCTCTGTTTTTATAGGGGATATAGAGTGGCTTTTGGAATTAATACAAAGTGACCGGTGCTATAATAGGGATGATGTTCAGGAACACAGACAAAGGCCACGTAAGTCATACTTGGAAAATCCTAATGAGAGGGCAGATTCAAAGAGTGTTCTAGACAGATGTTAATCTGTGCAGAAGTCAACACGACAGAACGTGATGCACAGAGAGATCTGGTAGAAGCTCCGTATGGGCTGAACACAGAACACAGGGGATGAGAGGGTGATGAGAGATGAAATTGCAGAGAGGGCTGCGTCTTGCAGGGCCTCCGAGCCGTGTCAAGGACTTCGGCTTTAACTTTCAGGCAGTAATGAGCTAGCGGGTTTGACTGGGGGAGTGGCATAGTATTTATATTTGCACTTTAGAAATAACTACTATGGTTATGGGTGGAGAATGAGTCAGAGGGGCGAGAGTAGAAGTGGGGAGATCACTTAGGAAGCTGATTCAGTAACTGGCGTGAAACGATGGTGACCAAAACCAAGGTGGAAGCAATGGGAAAGGAGGCAAGCGGATGGAGTCCAGAAATACACCCGAGGCTGGGGACTGGTGTTGGGCCCCGCTTCCAGGAAAGGAACGGCTGCAGCCTGAGTCAGAATCCTTAGCTTGGCCCACACCCTGGCACCAGGGAGGTACCTCTTCCTCCGGGTCTTCAGAGGCATGACCTTGTCTCCCAGGAGAAGCCCGGGAGCCCTGCTCTTCTCCCTCCACCCTCAGTCAGTGTAGGTGGGAGACGGTGGGTATACAGTTGAGAACAGGCTTCAAGATGCTGCCAAGTAAAACAGGAACAAGAGAACAATGTGTCCATTTTGATAGGTGGCTATCAGTCCAAGAAAGCTGGAAGAATTCTGGGGGGCCCTCCTCCTGCATTCCTCTTGGACTTGGTCCCATGGTGGAACAGCAAACTGGACCAATTTTTAAGACTCCATATTTCTTAAAGCTCTTTGAGTGTCAGCCGTGGGCCTTTCTTGTTCTTCTGTCTCAGGAGGAGGGGAAAAGGGCTTGTCTCTTAAGGACCCATTTTAGGCTCCTTGGACCTCCATTTTTAACCCTTCCTCCCGTAGGCCCTGGAATGATTTCTTGTGTCTGAGGATGTAAACATTGGGCTGTCATAATGTTGCTCATTCTACCAACCCACTAGAATACCCTTCTGGGCCATTGTCTCAGCACTGCCATTATCTCTAAAGAGACAGGGACTGCACAAAATATCTGCAGAAATCATTCATTTAAAAAAAAACAAAAACCAAGTCCTCTGGGCAGCGAAGTTTCACCTGTCTAACCCCTGATCCCCTGTGCTGCCACCTTCACCCTGTCCCCCTCTCCCTGGATCAGAGGACATCAGTGTGATCTTGTTTCTATGCTCCTACCCCAAACACACTCAAACCCAGACCCACTCAGCACATATGGTTCAGAGAAGCTGTGAGATCGGTGTGTTTATTTCTGGCCCAGTGCATGGCCTCTTCTAAGTGCTGGGCCTCTGGACCAGGGTTTATTTTCATGACTGTTCTTCGTAGAGTTGCCCTTCCTTCTAGAACACTGGTTCTCAACTGGGGGTGGTTTTGTCCTCCAGGAAACAGCTGGCAACATCTAGAGACAGTTTTGATCGGGGGCAGAAGTGGGCTCTGCTGGCATCTAGTGGATAGAGGCCAGGGATGCTGCTTTGCATCCTAAAATACCCACGACTGTTTCCCACACTAAGAATTGATGGTTGCTGGATGTCAGTAGTGCAAGGTTAAGAAGCCCTGTTTTAGAACATCCGTCTGTGACCACTGCGTCCTTTTGGCCCTGTAAGATTGCTGGAACAAGCCATGAGTTCAAGAATAACTCACTTGTTGTATTTCTTTCCACAGCTGAGCTCTGTCCGGGAGGCCGAGTTAGAGCGGCTGGAGGCAGCAAGACCCCGCTGGCCAGGGAGCGGGGAGCGGGGCCCAGTGCTGAGGATGGCCAGGCTGCAGCCACCACCCTGGGTCCAAGCAGGCCTCCTCCTCTGCTTCCTTGGCCTTGGCGGGGCCATCCAGATTCCTATGGATCGTGAGTTTACTCAGTCCTCTTTTATTCTCCTGATTTGGGGCAGAAGAGCTGGCGCGCAGGGGAGAGTTCAGACCAGCTTTCGAAGAAGGTTGGGGGAGGGGAAACAGTAGGTTCTAGGTGCAGAGCTGGGTTTCCCAAAGCATGGCAGCAAGCAGGCTCCTGTTTGGGAATGTGGGATTGTGAGTCTGCAACGCTGTTTCTCAGGGCTGTGGCTGAGTGATACTCAGGCTGCCTGGGAGCCTGCTGAGGCAGGACCAGAGGTGGCAGAGTTTGGAAGTCTGAGTGTCCTCTGTGGTCTGACTTGGCCATCAAAATGGAGTTTCCAGGGGCGGCTGGTTAGCTCAGTTGGTTAGAGCGCAGTGCTTACAACACCAAGATTGCTGGTTCGATCCCCACATGGGCCGCTGAGCTGCGCCCTCCACAACTAGCTTGAAACAACTACTCAACTTGGAGCTGATGCGTCCTGGAGAAACACACTGTTCCCCAATAAAAAAAACATTTAAAAAAATCAAAAGAGAAGAAGGAAAAATAAAAAGGAGTTTCCAGTGACCAAGTGAGTGGACAGTTATTTGCCTTTCTAATACCTGAGCTGGACTCTTCAGGCTCTCTTGGCTGGACTGATAAGGAGGACAGATGGCCTGGGGAGGGTTGGGAAGGGGATTATTTTGCAAAAGACTGCAGCTTCGTGAGACATTAAAATAGGGCCCCATTATAATGCCACCATGGGAGAGCCAGGCACTGATTCCTGCTGTTTTCAACTCTCCCATGGTAAAGTTGAAAAGCAAAATCCATCTCATTCTGTTTTCCATGGTAGGGGCATTATTTGGCCATCAGAATCAGAAAGTAAGGGGCTTGAAATGCTGGTCTAACAGCGTGTCTCCCCCAGCCATGTCTGTGGTCACATTCATAATGGTCCATTGACTGGCAGCCACGCCTCTTGGCTCTGCATCTAGATGTGCATCACCTTCGCCCTAATTCTGACACTTCTATCAGGACGTCTTACACCCCAGTGCTAAGATGGGGGCACACCACCTCTGTCCCGTTTCCTCATTTCAGGAATAGATGGGACCCACATGATGCCAATGTTGACTTGGGCCCTCTCCAGGTGACAGATGTCTAGGGAAGGGGAGGAGAGTGATACAGCCTCCAAGCAGTCCCCACTGAGCTTTCCAAAGCCAGACCCTGGGGCCTGGAGTTAGCAGAGCTTGGAGAAGAGTTGCAGGTGTCTCTGCCCCCTCCCACCCCGCATCACCAATAATAGCTGCCCCAGAGGAGTGGGCACTTCTGGATGAGAGAAGGCCAAGAGAAACTATAGGGTAGAACCAAGGCAAGATGAGCAAGGCCTCTGCCGCCTTCCCAGTAGCCCCATGTGTGAGTGTGTGTGTGTATGCGCACGTGCGCACGCGTGTGGCATGCACGTGCACACACATGCACATACACTCAGGGAGTGGAGACGGGTGTTGTAAACGGAACTATTCCATGGAGACCATCTGCACGGCTGGCTCAAGGAGAATTTCTCATTAACAGTCCCAGGCAGATAATCTAATAAGGAACCTGATAAGGCCCTCCCTCTCCCTGGAGAGGAGGGAGGTGCAGAGGAAATTGGGTTATCCAGGAAGTGGTGACGGCTCATTTCTCTTCTGCCGCTTCTCCTCACTCACGCACCTGCCACTTTGATCCCGGAGGCTAGTGGGTGAGGAGTTCCTGCAAGGTGAACCTATAAATAGATGGCTTTGACATCTCTGCTAGGAATATGGATTTTAAAGCTGTACCACAGCCGCAGGCAGGTGACTGAGCAGTCAGTCTCTCCAAAGCACCAGCCGTGGAGCTCAGAGCTTCAAGCGCCCTGACCTCCCCACCACCATCTCCCCACGTGAGGAGGGCCCGGAGGAGCCACCCTTCCTGTGCTGTTGTGTCCATGGAAACTCAGGCCCTTGCTTGGTCACGGTCACACAGCAAATGGGTGATGGAGTTGCTAGAAGAACCTAGGTCTCTTGATGATCCCCAGTCTGGCGCTTGACATGCCCATGGAGACCTCTGGTACACCTGCTTCTTTAGTTCTTAGAACTCCCTGGAGTAGCAGCTGCGTGTGCCTGGCAGAGACGCTTTACAGGCATCGTTTCCTGTGATTCTCACAGCTAATCCACAAAGTAGATATTGTCCTTAGCTGACAGGTTGGAAACTGCGGTGCAGACAAATAAAGTCATTTCTCCAGCTCACCTGTGGCAGGGCCAGCGTGTGACCACATCACCTCCCTGAATGAGGAGATGAGTCTTTCTGAGACACCAGTGCCCCAGGGTGTGTTAGAACAGGAAACTCAGGCTGCCCCTGCCCCTCGCTGGTTGCTTCAGGCACAGTGGGCATGGCTGCGTCTCCAGAATGAGCCTACGAAAGTTTAACTCAAGACAAGAGAAAGGCAAGCTCTCCAGAAAGGGCTCAGTTGTCCTGGGACGAGGTCCTCTACAGCCTGGCTTCTCTTTCCCGCTGGGCCCAGCAGATTATCTGAGCCCATCTTCCTTCTCACCCTGGGCTGAGACCCAGTGGAAGGGCTGGGGAAAGACCAGGCATCCCTTTTTCCCCAAGCTTTGTTGAGATATTACTGATGTATAACATATGTAAGTTTAAGATGTACAACTTGATGATTTGCTACACTGATGTACTATGAAATGATTACTACAATAGGGTTAGTTAACACATCCGTCCCCTCACATAATTATCTCTTTTTGTGATAACTTGTAAGGTCTACTCTCTTAACAGCTTTCAAGTATAGTTGTTATAGTACAGGTGTATCTCCTTTTATTGTACTTCACTTTATGACACTTTGCAGATACTATGTTTTTTACAAATTGAAGGTTTGTGGCAACCCTGCCTTGAGCAAGTCTATCAGTACCGTTTTTCTAACAGGATTTGCTCACTTCATGTCTCTGTTGTCACATTTTGGTAATTTTCACAATATTTCAAACTTTTTCATTATTATTATTATTTTTGTTATGGTGATCTGTGATCAGTGATCTTTGATGTTACTATTGTAATTGTTTTGGGATTGTCACAAAACACGCCCATGTAACACGGCAAACTTAATCGATAAATGTGTGTGCTCCACTGTCCGGCCGTTCCTCATCTCTCTCCCTCTCCTCGGGGTCTCTCTATTTCCTGAGACACAACAATAGTGAAATTAGGCCAATTAATAACTATACGTGGCCCCTAGGTGTCCAAATGAAAGGAAGAGTTGCAAGTCTCTCACTTTAAATCAAAAGCTAGAAATTATTAAGCTTAGCAAGGAAAGCACATTGAAAGCCAAGATAGGCTGAAAGCTAGGCCTCTTGTGCCAAACAGTTAGCCAAGTTGTGAATGCAAAGGAAAAGTTCTTGAAGGAAATTAAAAGTGCTACTCCAGTGATCACACGAATGATAAGAAAGCGAAACAGCCTCATTGCCCATACGAAGAAAGTTTTGTTTTAGGTTTTTAGATTTTATTAGGGAATTGGGGAAGGGGAACAGCCAAGTTGTTGTCCTTCAGTCTTAGTTGTGGAGGGTACAGCTAGTTCAGCTCCAAGTCCAGTCGCCATCCAGCTACCCGTCGGTAGCTCGCGGCCGCTCAGCTCAAGGTGCCATGTTCAATCTTAGTTGCGGGTAGGCATAGCCCACCATCCCATGTGGGAGTCGAATTGGCAACCTTGTTCTTAGGAGCACGTGTTCGCACCAGCTGAGCCACCCTGCCACCTGTTAGCAGCGGCAGCTCAGCTTAGGCACAGCTCACTGGCCCATGTGGGAATCGAACCGGCAACCCTGTTGCTCAGAGCTCGCGCTCTTAACCAACTGAGCCACTCGGCTGGCCCATGAAGAAAGTTTTAATGGTCTGGATAGAAGATCAAACCAGCCACAGCATTCCCTTAAGCCAAAGCCTAATCTGGAGCCAGGCCCTAACTCTCTTCAATTCTGCGAAGGCTGAGAGAGATGAGGAAGCTGTGAAAGAAAAGTTAGAAGCCAGCAGAAGTTGGTTCATGAGGTTTAAGGAAAGAAGCCATCTCCATAACATAAAAGTGCAAGATAAAGCAGCAAACACTGATGTAGAAACTGCAGCAAGTTATCCACAAGATCCAGCTAAGATAATTCAAGAAGGTGGCTGCACTAAACAACAGATTTTCAATGTAGATGAAACAGCCTTATATTGGAAGAAGATGCCATCTAGGACTTTATAGCTAAAGAGAAGTCAATGCCTGGCTTCAAAGCTTTAAAGGACAGGCTGACTCTCTTATTAGGGGCTAATGCAGTTGGTGACTATAAGTTGAAGCCAATGTTCATTTACCATTCTGAAAATAATACGGCCCTTAAAAATTAAGCTCAGTTTACTCTGCCTGTGCTCTATAAATGGAATAACAAAGCTTGGATGACAACACATCTGTTTATAACATGGTTTACTGAATATTTTAAGACCACTGTTGAGACCTACTGCTCAAAAAAAAGATTCCTTCAAAATATTACTGGTCAGTGACAATGCACCTGGGTCATCCAAGAACTCTGATGGAGATGTACAACAAAATTAGTGTTGTTTTCATGCCTGCTAACACAACATCCATTCTGCAGCCTATGGACCAAGGAGTAATTTCAGCTTTCAAGTCTTATTATTTAAGAAATAGATTTTATAAGGTGATAGCTGCCATAGATAGTGATTCCTTTGATGGATCTGGTCGAAGTAAATTGAAAACCTCCTGAAAAGGATTCACCATTCTAGATGCCATTAAGAACATTTGTGATTCATGGGAAGAGGTCAGAATGTTAACATTAATAGGAGTTTGGAAGAAGTCGATTCCAACCCTCATGGACAACTTTAAGGGGTTCAAGACTTCAGTGGAGGAAGTAACTGCAGATGTGGTGGAAATAGCAAGAGAACTAGAATTATAAGTGAAGCCTGAAGATGTGACTGAATTTCAGTACTCTTATGATAAAATTTTAATGGATGAGGAGTTGCCTCTTATGGGTGAGCACAGGAAGTGGTTTCTTGATATGGAATCTATTCCTGGTGAAGATGCTATGAAGATTGTTGAAATGACAACAACTGATTTAGAATATTACATGAACTTCGTTGTTAAAGCAGTGGCAGGATTTGAGAGGACTGACTCCAATGTTTGAAAAAGTTCTGTGGATCAAGTTCTATCAAACACTATCACATGCTACAGAGAAATCATTGTTGAAAGGAAGAGTCAGTTGATGTGGCTGAAGTTCATTTATGTTTTATTTTGAGAAATTGCCACAGCCACCCAGCCTTCAGCAACCACCACCCTGATCATTCAGCAGCCATCAACATCGAGGCAAGACCCTCCACCAGCAAAAAGATTACTCGCTTTATTACAGTATTGTCTTTATAGTAGTGGTCTGGACCCAAACCTGCAATATCTCTGCAGTACGCCTTCCTGTTAATTATAGCTGCCATGCTGTAAATTAGATCCCCAGAACTTACCCATCTTATAGCTGGAAATGTGTACCTTCTGAGCAACATTTCCCAACCCCTAGTCCCTGGCGACCACCATTCTACTCTCTTTCTTTGAGTTTGACTTTTTTAGATTCTACTATAAGTGAGATCATTCAGTGTTTGTCTTTCTCTGTCTGATTTATTTCACTTAGCGTAATGCCCTCAAGGTCCATTCATGTTGTTGCAAAAGGCAGGAGAGATATCTGTACCCCCATGTTCGTTGCCACATTAACTCACAATAGCCAAGACATGGGAACAAGCTAAGATCAGGCACTCTTAACTTTCCCTGTGTGTTGGCTGGGGAAAAGGGGGCGGGGGAGGCTGCCCTGCCAGAGTGCCCTCCCGTTCACTTGCCCCCTCAGGGGGCGTTATCTATGCCGTGAGGATGGGCCATTGCTTCTGCTCTGGGGAGCTTGAGTGCAGCAGCCTTCCTGGAACAGAGCCCCGGGCTGCTACACAATCCCTCATTGAAGCGCCCGGCCTCTAGCCCCCACCACCCTGCCAGCTGAGTCACATGCACCCACCTCCCCCTCACCAGCCCCAAGGAGAACAGCGTGACCTTTTAAGAAAGCAAAGGGTCACCTCATCAACCAGAGAGGTTGGCCAAAAAGTGAGTCTGCTGACAGCTGGTCCCTCTGTCCCCTTCCCCACATCAAGAGACCCAGCATTTTTCTCCTAGGAACTCACGGAGCTGGACAGTGGTGTGGGAGAAAACACTTCCTCCTCACCATCATCCCAAACAGTGCTGCAGGATGACTGCATCAACTCTCTCTCTCTCTCTCTCTCTCTCTCTCTCTCTCTCTCTCTCCCTCCATCTCCAAGGGATAGGCACCAGAGGGCACAGATATCAGAGCCAGGGAGAGAAAAGAGGTGCTTGCAGAGCCTGTTAGAAGAGTTTCCTTCTCCTTGGAAGTCAAAGGAGCAAATATATTCTCCACTCCACCTTGTCATCCAGCAAGTTCCATAGGAGAGAAGGGCAGGTGGTGTGGCACGAGGTGGGGAGTTGGGGGTCAGAGGACTAGAAAGGTCACCCTGTCTCTCGGCAGGAAACCCCCACTGTTTTTCCCTGTGTCAGCTTGTCTTCTGGGTTGATTGTGTCCCTGTAATAAATTCCTTGGTAGCATAATGGTGGCTGCAGATGTCATTACCTCTTTAGGCAAGTAGATTCTCAGTAGGCCTCTGGCCTGATTTCAGTGTCAGGGTAGGGACAGTATCCGGCCAGCTGTAGCTGCCCTGAGAGTCTCCATTCCCCCAAGGTCTCCCCTCTTAACTCACTTTGGCCCAAAATGTCAAGGAAAACAGTGCTGAGGCCCTACTTGACTAATTTACCTCTCTGGCCAAGGACAGACATGTAAAATCATCTCTGGACCAGGCAGCGGAAGAGCTGGTTCTCATTCCAGTTCTGCCACAGACTTCCTATGCGACCTTGACCAAGTGACTTCCCTTCTCTGGATTTCAGATGCCCTGGACAATGTCTAGGGCTCTTTCCACTGAACCGGGCTTCGATTCTATAAAAGAGGCTTGAAGCCTATGTGGGCACAGGAGAGCCTTTGTCAGGCTTCCCATCCAGGGCAAGGCCAGAGACCTCAGCTGTATGTGAGCACCCAGGAGACGCCAAAGGTCTCTTGAGATGAAAAACCAGGGACGTAGGCTGTAGCCAAAAGCAGTGGGTCAAGTGTCGGCCCTGCTTCTGAAAGTGGCCCCTTCTCCCCACCTCCCCCACTCCCTTGTGGCAGAATATACCATCTAAAACCGACCCCACTGCTTTTAGTCTGTCCAGAAAGTCATATATGGCTGAAGGTGCTGTGATGGGGAGCTCCACAGAGCATGTGTTCAGAAACCATAGATTTCTGCTTTCATTCCTTTTTGTTTCCTGCCAAGGGCACCAGGCAAGTGGTAAAACAGACAATATTTCTCTTCTGTGGCCCAGCAGGCTTTATAGAAAGAATTATTTTGAACCTTTTCGTGGGTCTTACTCTCAAGACTTTCTCAGTTACTGACTGTGTACAGTAGGACACGCATTCCTGCCGCCCTCCACCTCCCCTCTCTGTCCTCTCTTCTGTGATTCCTCCCACATCATTTGGTCCTGTCTTAACTCTGCCTTCTCCGGACTGCCCCCCTCTCATCCCCTAAACTCCTCTCCCACATCTCACGATGGTCAAGTCAGAAAGCTTCCAGGTCACCGTGGCTCACCAGCCTCTTCCCCTAGGCAGCACTCACTCTGGAAAAGTTAGCCCTCAACACCAGCACAGTATCTGATGTCTGCATCCGCATAAAATAAGGGTGACATATTATTTCCTGATATGATCATAAGGAAAAGACATCTTTAAAAGTTACAGCTAAGAGCTCGCTCAAGAGTGTGAGCTCTGAGCAACAGCAGTTCGATTCCTGGCCTGAGCTGAGCTGCCGTTGAGCTGCCAACAGGTGGCAGGATGGCTCAGCTAAAAAAAAAAAAAAAAGTTACAGCAACACATGTTCTCTTTTCTGCAGACAAATTTCAACCAATACCTTCTTCCCACAAAGGACATACCATCTAAAACCTTGTATTCAAAGCATGGTCCACAGACCACCAACATCCCCATCACCCGGCTGCTTGTCAGAAATGCTGTATATACTGAATCACAACCTGCATTTTAACCAGACCCTCCAGGCGATTCATATGCTTGTCAAAGTTTGAGAAATACACTCTCCTGTACATGGGCACGTGCACATCTCAGATGCAGGCTGGGAAGGTGTGTGCCATCTGCCCTGTTACCTGCTTTGTGAAAAGCACGGAAGGGAGCCGTGGGCTCTGCTTCATTCATCCTGCAGTTGCGCAGTGGGATTTCTGTAGGGCAGTGTACTTCTGCCATGAGCGGGACTATGAAAATTCATCTGTCCCTAGAGTTTTACAGAAGCGAAGGCTTTCTCTTTCATGTGTGAGAGAGAAGGAGCAGTGGGAGGAGTGAGGCCTGTGGACCTTGCTGGGACCTTGGGGCTTTGTTCTGTAGCAATGGTTCAGATCCACCCCTTTCCAGCCTCACCCTGGTATACCCTTGGCCAAGGAGCATCTAGAAGTGACACGTGGCATCCTCAGCGCCCAGCCTCTTTTGAGCAGCATTGCCACTTCGTTTGGACTTAACCTGGTAACATCTTCATTTGGTCACAAGCCGATCTTTCTGCTCCACTCCGTGGTTTGGTCTCCTGGGAGAGACGGTGCCTGCTCCGCGAAGCACTCGCTGGGTCCGTCTGCACTCCAGCTTGGGTCTTCCATCAACTCCTGCAGCTGGGAGGAGGAGAGAGCCCCTGCACAGCACCCTCCCCTAGCCCGCCTCACCCCTCTCTGCATGCTGCGGTGTGAGGACACCTGGGCGATCAGTCATGCGTGATAACTCATGTCTTCTTTTCTCCTCTCACAATGCTAACCCATGGGAACTAACAGCAAACATTCAGAATGAGCGTAAGTCCTGGGCGCCTCTCTGCGCTTGTGCCCCTGGGAGGTAGGAGGGCAGGAAGGAGGGGTGAGAGGGGGCCAGGGGAGGACACGCGAGAGGATTCTTGGCCTTTCCACCCTGCCTGCTGGGGTTTCTTGACACTGAAGCCCTGCAGTGAGGTCCCTTACCTCACAGGAAGGAAAGAGGTTCATCCTATGGCTATGTAGGCAGAGGAGCAGGTGGGTAAGAAGGACCATTCAGGTGGCTGGCATGGGAGCCCTGGGGAGGACTGGAGCTCAGGACCAAGAGGAAATAGCTACTCTTTAGCCTGCAGACGAGCCCCTGGGAAGTTCTCTGGGGACTAAAGCCTCTTTCAGCTCCATCCTCACCAGTGTGTCCATCTGTTGACCCTCCAGGGCTCAGAACCATCACAGCCCTTAAGTTCTAATAATCTAGCTGCTTTTTTTCCTTTATTCATTCAGCAAACATTTATCAAGAATGATTGTGCCTTAGGCATTATACTAAACATTGGACATAGAAGAGGTCAAACAAAAGCCTGGCCTTCAATTTCTCCTGGGGATACTATGAGATCTTAAAGGGCTTCTTCACGTGCTTAGTCAGTGACATGCACCCCCTTTCCTGCAGTCTCTAGAATGGGGCACTATCCACCACCTGCTTGCCTGATTGTGTGGCTCCCAAAGCTCTTAATTTCAGCCGTCCCCCAAGCCAGGGACCCGGGCAGGTCCCTGCAGCCCTGACCACCTACTGTCTGCCCTGTTGCAGTGTCCCAGCCCCCGACCATCACCAAGCAGTCAGTGAAGGACCATATCGTGGATCCCCGAGATAACATCTTGATTGAGTGTGAAGCAAAGGGGAACCCTGCCCCCAGGTGAGTGCACTGGCAGGGAAATCCAAGCTGGGTGGACGGACGGAAAGGGGCCTGCAAAGAGGGCATTTAAACCACTCCCTGATGAGGGTTGCAGCGGCTGAGAAATTAAATTTATGCATTCCAACCATCTCCATTAAGCCCCCACTAGGCAGAAAGTACAACTTGGATAACTAGGACATTAAGCTCATGAGGAAACTGGGGGCCAAAAAACTTAAGTAGCTTAAGGTCACACCGAAAAGCCAGGACTAGATATGAAGTTTTCTGACTTTCAGTATAACATTCTTTCCACTGCCTTATGTTCTCGTCATCCCCTACATGCTTAGTTTATAGGAAGTCCCTCTCTATGGCTAACTCGAGTCTTTCATTCTGAGCTCGTCTCTGCTTGTTTCTGAGCACTCATGGGATGTGAGTCCACATGAGGTGAAAGCCTGCTGTGTGCCAGGCTCTGTTAGAACTGTTCCTCACACTGTCTTGTTCAACCACCTCACTGTCCTTTGGGAAAGGACCTATGTCCTTGTGAAGTGAAAGTGAAACGGAAGCCCAGAGATATTAAGTACCTTTTCCAAGGTCCCTCAGCTTGAGAGTGGCAAAGCCTAGATCTAAACCCAGGCCTCTGATGCCCCAGGCCAGGTTTGTTTATACCGACTCGTAGGCATTGGCGATATGCAGATGGTTCGCTAGGCAACCCTCATCTTTAAAGCACCTTCCAGGCTGGAGCTTTCAGGAGCCTCATGCCAGATTCAGACCCAGACGTGCCAGGGCCCTCACGTGGGGGGGGGGGGTTTCAGCAGGAGAAATGAGGCAAGGCAGAGCCTCGGGTGTGTGGCGGCCTTCTTCTGTCCCTGGTCCCTGGGTTTGCATGAGCTGGTATGACTCAGAGCTATGAGCCTGGAACAAGCAAAGCGTCCCCCAGCCATGGTGGGAGAAGCAGGAAGCGCCCTGAAGGGTCAGGCAGGACACGGGTGACCTTGCTTCTGAGGGCTCGGTTTTATGAAGGCCGCTTTTTCTTTCAAAGCTGCCCCTCCTGGGCTGTAATGTGTGGCCACTGCCTTTCAGCCTCCACCCACTGAGGAGGGGCACAGATCACCGGAACCGTTTCACGTTGGCTTTAGAGTCGATTATCAAATAAGGAGGCACGAGGAACAGAGCCGGCTCCCTGATGCATGGGGGTCCGGTGAAATGTGAACTTGGGTTTGCATTCCGAGTTGGAGGTTGGGAATGGAAGCAGCATCTAACTCGGGATTTAAGACAATCAAAATCACTGCCTACTCCTCCAAAGAGCATAATCCCCAGGGACTACGTGGGTATCTACCACTTAGAGCCATGACTGCCAGCCTTAGCTAGGTAAAGGTACCGTCAGGGACCTGCCCCCCGGAGATTCCCCTGGGTGGAACTGGGGACGCTGCATTTTATCAGGCGTCCCAGGTGGTTCTGCCTCTCAGCGAGGGCTGGGGCCCACTGGCACGGAGATGTGGTTTGGGGACTGAGTCCAGGACGAGGACACTTAAGAGTCTCAAGTGGAACCCGGAACCTGTTACTCTTTGTTGCTCCTGCCCGCCCCCAATTGTCCACAGCTTCCACTGGACTCGCAACAGCAGGTTCTTCAATGTCGCCAAGGACCCCCGGGTGTCAATGAGGAGGAGGTCTGGGACGCTGGTGATTGACTTCCGCAGTGGCGGGCGGCCAGAGGAGTATGAGGGGGAATACCAGTGCTTCGCGCGTAACAAGTTTGGCACGGCCCTGTCCAACAGGATCCGCCTGCAGGTGTCCAGTGAGTAGCGTGGGGCGGGGCTGAGGTCCATTCCTCTGTACGTGGAGGGGAAGGCATGGATGGTGGTTGCGGAAGGGCCGCCCCTGCCTTTGGCCTGTTGGTGCACTGGAGCCCTCCATGTCCTGCCTGCTTTGCTGCCGCTGAGCTGGGACGCACCTCCCCAGCTCACAAAGATTCCTTGGAAAGGAAGGTTCCAAACCAGAGCCTTGACCAGCTTCCTTGGCCAGTCTGGGTACAGGAGGGAGGGAAGAGAGGAGCCTTGGAAGAGGCGCATCCGCGCAAAGGGCCTCTCTCACCCCACTCAGACGCATGGGCCCTGTCCCTCTCTCCGGCCTCCCTCATTCTCCTGTCTGCTCTTTCCCTCCTCACATGCCCCCCTCTAACCCCGCACCTTGCCCTGGCCCCAGCCATCACCCTCATTTCATCCTCCTCTGTGTTTCCCCCCAGAATCTCCCCTGTGGCCGAAGGAAAGTCTAGACCCCGTGGTGGTTCAAGAAGGCGCTCCCTTGACACTCCAGTGCAACCCCCCACCCGGACTTCCGTCCCCGGTCATCTTCTGGATGAGCAGCTGTAAGTCTTAGGGGCCTGGTGTTCTGTGCCTGTTTTCATCTTAGGGAGTGGGGTGGGTGTGTTAATGGGGCGGTGCTTGCCCAAGGCGAGCAGACCTTGACTTGTGGGAAGCAGGTGTGGCCACATGGCTGAGAACACAGGCTCTGTAGAGAGGCTCTGCTTGAGCCCTTCCTAAAACCACCTGCTATTAGCTGGGTGATCTTGAGCAAGTCGCTTAACATCTCTGGGCCTGCTTCCTCTTCTGGAAAAGGAGGGCTGATAATTGTCCTTATCTAATAGATTTATGGTAAGGATAAATAAGTCAATACATCTAACGTGCTTGTAACAGGGCCAGACACACAGTAAGTGCTCAGTAATATTTGTGATGACGAAGAGCAAGAGAAAAAGGAAGAAGGAAGAAGAGGAGAAACTATTTTTTTTTCAATAGACCAATTGAAGGTGGACTGACACCAAGTTTCCTCTTTCAATCTTTGGTTGGCCTGGATTCACTCTTCTTGTAGGACAGTATGGGTGGGAGGCGGGAATGAAACCTTTGATAAATAAATGATTGATGGGGAGGTAGGGTGTTTGGAGCAGGGGATAGAGTGTCATCATCCAGAGCTTGTCCTGGCTCAGTTTTGGAATGAGGCTCATTTATCCACTCTGGACCTCAGTTTTCCTCAGTGTCTTTCGGTGTTTTCAATCCAACTGAAGGTGTCAAGGCTGTGGGGAGCATTACGAGGGTGAATAGAGGACTGCCATCTATCTGTGTATCTTCCTGGCTTCCCTTCCTCCGTCCACTTCTGCCTTCCCTCACCCCTCCTTCCATCCCTCCTTCCCTATAGACGCATCCATCTGTCAATCTGTAGACCTCCTGCCTGCCTGCCTGCCATCCATCACTCTAGCCATTCCTAAATTCTTACCAGCCTACTTCCGAAAGAGGCTGCCTTGTAACTGAGGCAGCGTGTGCGGTGTTTTGCAGAGTGAGGGTGGCTTCGTGCCCAGTCATTGTCCCTCTCTTCCCTCATGACATTGCACATCAGTGGGGAAGGTCGCCTGTCCACAGGCTGGGGTGTTGGTTTTTAGCTAACAGTTCAGACTCTCCTGTCTCATCCCCTGCATCATACTCGTCACCAAGGTGTGTCCGTGCTACCTCCTGAGCAGATCTCGTGACCCTCCTTCTCTTTCCATCCTCACTGACATCTCCCTAGCACAGGCCACCGTCAGCATTTCCCTGGATTGCAATAATTATCCATAACTGGCCTCCCTGGTCTTTCTAAAAACATAATGTGACAGTTTCACTTATATGCTCAAAGCCCTTCACTGACTCCTTCATCATCTCAGACAAAGCCTGAACTCCTTTCCTCGGCACACAGTTTCCTTCCTGATCTGGTCCCCCCTGCCTCTCCAGTCCTTCCCCCGTCCCCGCCCCCAACCCCCTACCCAGGCACTGTCACCTTTAGCACACTGTTCCTGCTGCTTAGAACCCTCTTAGCTCCTTTCTCTTCTGCCTGTTAAGTGTCATGCAGCCTTCAAGCTGCAGCTCAAGGCCTCTAGAATGGACTGGCTGCTCGTCTCAGTTCATCCTCTTATCTGGGCTTCCACTCACCACACTGCACCGCAATTATTGATTTAGCCACTGTTTCTTCTACTAGACTGCAGACTCTTTGAGGGCAGGGACTGTCTTATTCATCTCTCTTCCACTAGTACCTAACACAGTACCTGCACATAGCAGGCCTACAGGAAACCTTGGATAAATGATTTGAACAACTGACCAGCCCATCATTGGAAAGTTGGCGTCATTAACCTTGTGCTTTAAGAAATGTTGACTTAGAGAACACGTGCGGATAGGAAGGAGTTTGCTATGAGTAGTCAGCCTTAGAAGTATACTTTTACAAAGCAAATAGCCTGGAAACCTGGCCATTTGAGTTTACATGAAGTACAGTGCTTGAAAAACTATAGATAATGCATTCAGCATTCTCAGCCACTCCTATGATCTCATTAATTCTAAAAAGTACACATTTTGATTTTTCGCATATCTAAAATGGGAAGGCATCCTAAAATTGATGGTATGCATCTTACAATTATAACTGGTAATGTTTTTTTCTTTCTGGGGGGGAGGGGTTAGAAAAGAAAACAGGTGAATTTGACTTGATTTGGGAGATTCTGAAGGATCATGCCCCGTCCCATCTGGCCTCGGAGCCAGTCAGATCTTCTGTGACATGATCGGGAGATAGAAAAATAGGGTCATAGAGCATGGATGTGATGAGCAGGCAGGTCTGAATCTAAATCCTACTCTTCCCTCGCTGCTTTTGCAGCCGGAAGAGTTATGTCCTCTGCTTTCTTATCTGTAAAATGAGAATAAGCCCACTTCAGACTTGCGAGTGAGATAGACCAAATAATGTGGAGCTCCTGGCCCTCTGTAGGTGCTCACTCGCCGGAAACTTCATGGTGATTATTACTCTGATCATGACTGCTAACCTCCCACTGTACCTCTGCTTCCTTATAGCCATGGAACCCATCACCCAGGACAAGCGGGTCTCCCAGGGCCACAATGGAGACCTGTACTTCTCTAATGTGATGGTGCAGGACATGCAGACCGACTACAGCTGCAATGCCCGCTTCCACTTTACCCACACCATCCAGCAGAAGAACCCATTCACCCTCAAGGTCCTCACCAGTAAGTGCAGGCCCCTGCCCGGGGCCGTGGGGGCCGGGGGCGGCAGCCCACGTAGCCCAAGCAGCCCCTGGCACTGGGTCTGGGGAGAGCCTTGTCTCCAAGGCTGACCTAGAAATCTTTCCAGCTCATGGTGCCTGAGCTACTTTAACTTCCTTAAACCACATCTCCTGGTTCTTTGCCCTGAGTTTAACTTGGCCGTACTCTAACCCAGTGCTTCTAAGACTTTGGTGGGAATCAGAATCACCTGGTGAACTTGGCACCATCCCCAGGCCCAGCCCTATCCCACCACTTGGCGCTTGATTAGCTCCCAGAGGATTTGGGTGCTCCGGAATTTGAGAAGCATTGCTTTAAGTGGTCGTCCGGCATCCCTCTCCTGTGCTCAACTTCATGACTTCTTTTATTTCTCGTCATTGTTTGGTTGTCTTTATTTCTAGCATAAAGCCACAGAACGGAATATTCAAATTAGTAGGTACACCTACATGAATTGCGTTTGATTCTGTGATACGTGTATGTGCTATATGGAATTGCTGCGTTTGCAAGTTTGCAGGTTTATGTTTAGTTTTATTTTGTTTTTGTTTTTATTCCCTGATTCTGTTTAACTGGTACCAAAGCAAGTCAGCGTTTCCTGACCCATTATAGTGTTGGTGGCCTTCCAGGAGGAGAGAGAGACGCAAGTCAGTTCAGAGACATACTTCTTGCCAGGGAGCCGCTGGCCTGGAGCTTCGGCTACAGAGCCCGCCACCTGCTCAGGACACTGAACGTGGCTGTGTTGGTTTACCCCATGCGTTTATAACATGCCTTCCAGAGAACAGCCCCCTCCCCAGAGACTTTAATCTGTCTGACTCAGCTGTGAATGATGTTTTCAATACTGTGGAAAGTGGCAGTTGTGGAAGAGGCCAGGCAGGGGTCACCATGTGTGTGCTGGCAGCTTCCACAAGTCAGAGAAAAGAGGTCGAACCCTGGTTTCTTGGAGCCCACATGCAAGTGGTTGATGACACCTCCTTGGAGGATGTGGGAGGCTGGGGCAGGCGGGGAGGCTTGGATGAACTCACTCCTCACTTAGGACAAGTGGGGGCCTGACCCCCTAATGCCCACTTCTTTCCTCATCAGTCCCTGCGCATAATGGAAACAGGCAGTGCCGAGAGTCAGCCCAGCCCCGCGCTGTTTCCATCATGGCATCGAGTTGGAGCCACAAGAAGCAGCTTCCTTTCTGTTCCCTTTCTCCTGCTGTGGGTTCTTCTTGCCTTTCTCTTCATGTTCTTCCCTTTTCCACTTCCTTCCCCTCCCTCTTTCTTACTTTCCCCCCTGAGCCCATTTTACCCACCTCTAATCCTCCCCCTGCTGCCTTTGCGGGTCCCCACACACTCTTTTGAGCTGCCCTTATTTGATAGCCAACAGGCTGGCCAGAAACCCAGGACAAGGCCTGGCAGGGCCGCCCAGCTTCAGTCTGCTTGCTGCTCTCGCCTGGCTTTCTTCTTCCAGACCCTGGCCCGGAGAAGAGCCCTGGAGAAGGAAGTTAGGTTGTCTGAAGTGTCGCTTAGTGCAAGTCAGGGGTGACTGCCTGCCAGCTGGCCGAGCTGGGGAGGACAGTGTGGTCTGCCCAGGACCTCAGAGTGGCCTCCAGAGTCAGACAGGGCTGACAGCATTGGGCAGAGGGAGGGGCAGAACTGTTAAGAGCGAGATGCACGCTGAGCTGTTCCCTGGATGGCCTGCAGTGCCATTACCTGAATCCCTTTCTCCCTGCCCAGGAGATGCTTGAAGGCAGCCTGCTGTTTGGGGACTGAGTCAGGTGACTGTCTGCGGTCCTGGGCAGAGGCCCCCACTGTCACACAGGGTAGAGGCAAGGAGAGGGAGGTGGTGAAGCGCCTTCCTCTGTGGAATTAAGCAGTTAGAGATTTCAGCTACATTTAAAGGTTGTACTTTCCAGAAATTTCCTTTTCTCTGTGGTAAAGGATGTTTGTTACTGCTCCGTTTCTGGGTTCAACCCCCTACTCCACTGAAAACGCCCAAATGCTGAAAATCCCCCAGGTGCTGGGAACAGAAACCTGTCAGCTTCCTGGGGTCTCCCGGGGCAGCTCTGTCCGGAACAAGTTCTGGGCATCTGCGCCAGCTCAGATTTGGACACGGTTGCTTAAAATAGCACAGTGGAGCTGTCTCCACTTCCTGCCTGGAAAGGACACAGGCTTTTTCTTATACCTTTAGAACCAGGTCTGGGGGTGGGCAGCAAAACAGCCAATTGGGACAGCTTCAAAGACTCTGTTCTCACCAGAGTCTGGGTTTCTGCCAGAGTTTGCCCATGGGGGAAGAAAAAAAAATCTCATCACAGCCAATTTTGCATTACCTGCAATAAAGGAAGGGGAGAAAGGCATCTAACAGAAAATACTGGGCAATCTGAAATCACTTTTAAATTTGTTTGGGGATGTAGTGAAAGACAGACAGAGTCGGGCTAACAAAGACGTGCCTGTCCCTCTTCCCACGCCAAGACAGATTCTGTCCCTCCCAGTGCCCTTGCCACACGAGCGGCAGTAGTGGCGAGAGAGGAGGGTTCTCTGTGAGGCAAACACAAAGCAGCGCTAACTCTGCCTCCTTCTAATGTCTGCTGTCTAAGCCATGCTCTTCGAGGAGTCAGAGGTCTCCATGAATTTCTCAGATGTGCTACAGAATCCACAAACTGGGGGGTGAGTCTGAACTTGGGTCACTTGTCTGGAAAGAGATAGGCTCTGTTTCACCTGGTGGCATGGGAGCGTTAAACAAGGCCCCGTCATATGTGCGTGTCCCTTTGCTCCCCCAGCAGAGGAAGGTGATGGAGTCTAGCCACAGCCCTGCCTACCCTTTGCCACTCTGCCTGTTCATTGCCTGGCAGGGCAGTTCCCACCTTTAGCTCCGGACAAACCCAAGCTGACGTCCCAAACACAGGCTAGGTCTCTTACCACAAACCCCATCTGGAGAGGTCAAGTTCTGAACACTGGGTATTAGGCAGGTTTAGGATGCAGCACAATGCGTCCCGAAAAAGAGCGCCATGGCTTCCACCATCAGCTGTAACAGGATCTGAGCTGTCTTCACATATGCAAATGCTCTGGCACAGCAGCTCTCCTCCCCTCAGGCAGTTGGACGTGTTCTGGGCTTCTCAGAGCTGTCTGCTTGGCTTCCAGTCAGCTGTTCCACCCTCCTCCCCCCACTTTCTGTGGGTACTGTCAAAACTTGAGCCCAGTAGCTGGAAGTGGACAGTAGTAGAAGAGTGAAAAGTTACTTAAGGATGTTGGCATGATTATGTGCCCTATTTCAAAATGTCTTGCTCACTGTGAGTTAAATGCCCTAGGGTTTTCATTACCTCATGTTGGAACCAAGACCACACCACTGGTCTTGCTCCGTAAGGAATATCTTTACCTCAAGACAGTCCAGAGAGTTCTGAATCTCCAGCTTAGTCAGCAGGCCTTTCTCAGTCCAAAGTGTAGAAATCAGTGCTTGCGCAGCTCTCTCTCTCTGTCTCTCTCCCTCTCTCCCTCCCTCCCTCCCTCTCTCCCTCTCCCTTTCTCCCTCTCTCCCTCTCTCCCTCTCTCCCTCTCTTCCTCTCTCCCTCTCTCCCTCTCTCTCTCACACTTTTTCCCAGGCTCCCTTTATAATCCTAAAATCTGAACCTCAGCCTAGCTCCGCCCACCTCCCTGGACTCCTAGCCTCCTTAGAAGGAGGCCTTTCTGCCAACATCTGGGAGACCAGAGTGGTGCCCACCTGTCAAGTTGGGCGCTGCCAAGGGTCCCTCTGTCCCACTCTGTTGATGAACTGTTTCTCTTGGACTGCCTTCTCTCCTTCTCCTCCCACCCCTTGCCACTTAGCTTCTGCTCAGGTAGGACTTTGCTCTTCCCCCAGGGCTCACTAACGCTTTCTCTTTAGCTACCCCAAGAGCTGGCCTGATCCAGAGACCTGAAAACTGAGGATGTTGATGGGAAGAAGGTGTTCAAAAGATTGCTACAGGATACCACTAATCCTTACCTCATTTGTTTGAAAATACAATAGGACCACGCAATTAAGGGTCAAGCCTAATATTTTAATTAAAAAAGAAACTTATTTTATCGTTGCCTTCTTTTGCAGGATTTAACATTTTCTTCCCTTTTGGGGCTGTTTTGTGTTGCTTGTTCTTCACCACACATATTTCCTTTCCAAATATGCCATGTCTTTCCTTTGCAAAAGACGACTGGTGCTCTCTCCCCGGCTGTTTTCGTGGCTTTGCATTTCTGTTTGTTCTCTCCCCGTTTATGCCTCCATGACCTCTCCGTGACCTCCTGTTTGCTCACCCTCTTTTATTTATTGCAGACCACCCCTATAATGATTCGTCTTTAAGAAACCACCCTGACATGTACAGTGGTGAGTCGCTATGGTAACCTTGGGAGTCACCTTGCCTGTCCTAACCCCAGTTTGCCTAACTTGACTGATACCATGTCATTAACTCATGCTGGATGACAGGCCTGACAGCGGGCCAGGCCACAGTGCCAAGGCGCCACCTCCAGAACTTCCTGCTCACCAGAAAGACAGTAGCCAGTCTGGGAGTTTGAGGTGGCTCATGTCCTCATCCTTCAGGCCTCCAGTTGCTGAATTCTGGACAAGTTGGTCAAACCAGGATAGGACTTCGAAAGGGCTACTTGGAGGGTTGAGTAGAAACTTAGGGATCAGTGATAGGTGGATGGAGAATATCTGAGGATAGGTGAGGAGGAAACATGAAGCCTTCATATTAGTGGTTTAAACAGCATAGGAAGCTTTGTAGTACGTGTTTAGTTAACGCTTAAGTGTCCGGGTGTGAATTGCCTGTTTTATAGTCTGGCCATAACTACTGGGGATATACCATGTCAGGTCCCTTGTCTCTTTAAAATCCATGGGGAAAGTGGGAGTGAGAGTCCGCTCTGAGTTCTCTTTCAAGGCGAGTGTAAATGAAGTTGGACCATTCATTGTACTCTGTCACCTGGGCCTCATCTCTCCACTGGGAGTCCACGCCCAGTGCCCACCAG